CTTGATAAGGAAACTGGCACACAGCAGCACAGTCAGCTGCCCAGGTCAGAGAAGCAGTGCATGGGAGTACCAGGATCCCATTAGGGGCAGGCTGCCCAAGTGCCCCCACTAATGACAGTGCTGCCATGAGAAAGATGCCCAGTCTCTCATCAGGTGGTGTCATGCAAAGACCTTCAGATCAGGGCAGGGAATGCTCCATCAGAGTGTGATATGAAGGGGAGGTTAGGAGGGGAGGCCAGACCCAGCAGGTGGTGGGAACTCCTAAGTGCCACCAGGTACTCTCCTCCAGTCTGAAAAGTTCCTTGTGGCCCAGTGGCCCTGTGACCTACTTAGACCTTGTGGAGAGATATACATAACACCACCTAGGGGAGTCCTTAGTCTTTTGTTTGTAAGCCACAGGAGGCAGGTTGGAATCTGAGGGATCTGGAAAGAAAACTTTCCGGATTCTACCACAGTTGGTGCCTTTCTGTCCATTATTGGGCACTGGGAAGAGGGCAGCCTCCCTCTTTCTGGGTGAATTTGTCCCATAGCACCAAAGGAGCTTGAAAGAACTGGAGGACTGCTAGAGTTTGCTGTTTTAAAATGTCAGCTTATGGGGCATGCTGCAAAGTGACAGCAACCCAGCCCCATTCACACTTTCCTTCATACAGGTTCCTGAAGAGTGGGAGTGGAAAAGTAGTGAGGATTGCAGTATTTTAAATAAGCATCATCTTTTAAGTAGAGTGTCAAATTCCTACAGGACCAGAAGTAAGCTAAATTGGTGCTTTTGGTTCCAGGCTCTCCTGTGCTCAGACCTGTGTGCACTGAGGTTTTCAGTATGGCCAGGTCGGTCCTCCTGAGAAAGCTGTGGCCACTTGAGCTGCACAGCAAGTGACAGCAGGGGATGAGCAAAACTGCTAGCAAAGCTGCTAGCAAGGGACAAGCTCCTCAGTTTCACCTTCCTGTAGAACTGCTCTGTGCTGAGCGCAATTCCAGCCACCAGGAAGGGATGCGGGCCCATTTGTTCCTCCAGGCTGAATTAGTAACCATGCTCTTCAAGTAATGAAACTTGAAGTAATCAAACATGCAGGATTACCTGTCTCCTTTGGTTTACCATGTTCTGACAGTGTTTTGTGTTTTTTGTTTTGTTTTGATCCTCACCCACAAAAAACTTAATAGTCAATTTGAGTGGGTAGGTTTTTGGTAAAGTACTTCCAACCTTGAATGTGAAAATTTAACTGCAGCTTTCCCAGGATGGAGCACACATTTAGAAGAACCACTTCCCTCCTTGGGGATAGGGAGGATGGGGCACAGTGTTGCTATGAGCATGAACCAGCGGATCACAGAGTACTGTTTGGCACAGAATATAGAGATCTAGACAGCCAGTTGTTTATCTGTCTGATGGATTTGCTCTTCTGCCATTCCATTGTATTGCAAGTAAGTGGCTTCTGCTGTAGCAAGACAGATGTGTCCTCCCCAGTGTAGAAAAGCCTTAGCCCTGTGGCTGCCACTCCCTTTCACAGTACTAATTACATCCTTCAAATGTGTTGTCAGTTACTGGACCAGAAGACAAGAAGGAAACAGTAGTGTTTGGGTGCCTTTTCATGTCCTTTGACAAGTTTTACTTGTGTGTTTATTTGGTGGAAATAGGTTCTGGGTGGGGTTAGCAGAGGCCAAGCTAGAGTCAGCATCCATAAAACCAGAGTACAAATTGAGTCCCAATCCCCCTTCCCCATAGGAACCTAGGATGACCAACCCCATATTTCAGACTGCAGGAAAGATTATAAATGCACAGGGTGGCCCAGAGCTTATCAAATAGACAATGAGTTGGAATCAACAAACTGGTGTTATTTAATTTATTTAATTTTTATTTTTTAGTGCTGGGGATTGAACCCAGGTACACACTAGGCAAGCGCTGTACCATTTAGCCAGCTGCCAGTGTGATGGTGCTATTTTAGCACGTTAAAGAAGTCTACATCCTGTGGGAAGGCTCTCAGTAGAATATCACGTCTTGGGTGCATAGTGACATTGCTCCCTAGCTTTGTTTGAGAAGCTGTACTAGTTTACATTCTGTAAATGTGCAAGGGTTCCTTTTCTCCACATCCTCACCAAGACTCACCTTTAGTCAGTTGTGAGACAATATCGTGGTGCTGGACCACATCCTCCTAAACAGGGAGGCCAAGTACCTTTTATGCACTGTTGGGAATCAGTGTGAGAAATGTCATGTTGTTGTACTGGGGGTACATTGTGACATTTACAAAAGTTCTTACAATATACCATAGTTGAATTCACCCTCTCCATCATTCTCCTTTATTCACCATCACCCCATTCCTGGAATTGTTTCCACAGGTCTTGTTTTTCCTTTTTCATACACAAGTATGTAGTATTTCCAGATTGCCTTTGAGTTGTTTGAGTTCTTATCTATTTGGGGTATTAAACCCTTTACCAAATATATATCTGGAGATGTTTTTTTCCCATTCCACAGGCTTCATTCTCACTCTGGATGGTTTCCTTTGGCTCAAAGCAACTGTTTAACACAATCCCATTTATCTGTTTGCTTTTGGTGTCATAGCCCAAAGCATCATCACAGCCGGAAGCCATTTCTCCATATGTTTCCTTGTAGTTTCATGGATCCAGGCCTTATGTTTAAGTCTTTCATCCACTTTGAGTTGATTTTTGCATAAGGTGTGAGATAAGGGTCCCGTTTTATTTTTCCACATGTGGATATCCAGTTCCCCAACATCATTTACTGAAGAGACTGTCATTTCCACACTGTGGGTTCGTCATTTACTTGTCAGAGGTCATTAGCTATAAATGCATTGATTTATTTCTGGGCTTTCTATTCTGTTCCATTGGCCTGTGTTTCTGCTTTTATACAAGTACCATACTATATTGATTACTGTGGCTTTGTAAGATAATTTAAACACAGCATGTGTGATGCCCCCAGCTGTGTTTTTCTTTCTCAAGATTGCTTTGACTCTTCACAATCTTTTATTGTTCCATGTGAATTTTTAAGATATTTTCTCTATTTCTGTACAGAATACCGTTGGGGTTTTGATAGAAGCTATATTAGAGCTGCAGATTTCTTTGTGTATTTCTCTGTGCTAAAGTGTATGGGCAGTTTAACATTAATTCTTCCAACCCATGAAAACAGTGTCTTTCCATCTGCCTGTGTCTCCTTTTATTTCTTTTATCAATGCATCATAATATGCAGTGTACAAATCTTTCACCTCTCTGGCTAAGTTTATTCCTAAGAATTTTCTTCTTTTTGTTGCTATTATAAATGGGATTGTTTCCTTTATTTTTTAATTTATTTATTTTGGCAATAGTGGGGTTTGCTAGGCAGGCACTCTATCACTTGAGATACATCCCCAGCCCTCCTTTGCTTTACCTATTTTCCAGCTAGGATCTCACACTTTTTGCCTGGAATTGGCCGTGGATTGCAGCACTCCTACCTATGCCTCCTGTGTAGCTGGGATCATAAGCATGTGCCACTACACCCAGTTTGCTTGTTGAGACTTTTTTCCTGCCTGAGCTGGCCTTGAGGATCCTTCCAATCTCTGCCTCGCAAGTAGTGTGGATTATAAGCATGTACCACTATGCCCAACAGGATTATCTTCTTAATATGCATTTTGGACACTTCATTGTTTATGTGTAGAAATGCTACTAATTTTTATGTTGATTTTGTATTCAGCAACTTTATTGACATAGCTTATTAGTTTTAACAGTGTTTTGTTGTTGTTATGGAATCATCAGGTTTTCCTACCTGTGTGATCACATTATCTACAAACAAAAAAATAACTTCTTCCTTCCTGTTTTACATACTTCCACTTATTTTTTTTTTGTGCAGTGCTTTTGGCTAGCACTTCCAGTAATACATTAAATAGAAGTGGCTGAAGTGGGCATCCTTGCCTAGTGCAGATCTTAGAATTTTGCTTTCAGCTTTCTCCCATTGCATCTGATGTTACCTGTGAGCTTTTCATATTTGATTTCTATTGTTAAAGTAAGTTCCTCCCATACCCCTTATGTTGATGGCTTTGATCATGAATAGATGTTGAATTCTGACAGATTTTTTTTCCAGTATCAATTGAGCTGATTGTGTTTTCTGGGGTTCATTCTGTTAATGTGATGTGTTTCATTGATCTGCGTATGTCGAGTCATCCTTGCATCCCAGGGATAGATCCCACTTGGTCACTTGGTCTTGGTATATAATATCTTGAATGTGTCATTGAACTTTTTCACTAGTATTTTATCATAGCTTTACATCCATGTTTATCAGAGATATTGGCCTATAGATTTCTTTTCTGGTGAATTCTATCTTTGGCATTAATGTGATGCTGCCTTATAAATGTTGGAAATGTTCCCTTCTCCATTTCTTGGATGTTTAAAAAGCATTAGCATTACTCTTTGGATATTTGGCATACTTTTCCCTTTGGTTCTGGGCCTTTCTTTGTGGGGCGGTTTAGTTACTGATTCACTCTATTTATTATTGGTCTGTTTATTATTTTTTTTTCTTCTTGATTCAGTTTGGGTAGGTTGCTTGTGCCTGGGAGTCTGTCCATTTCTCATAGTTATCCAATTTGTTGTTGAATTATTGTTTATAACAGTACCTGTCAACTTCTTTAACTGAAAACCTAATTTTTAAGATGCATTGATACTTATAAGTAACTGAAAATTTAGTGTCTTGTACCCATAAGTAGTGTTTTTTATGCTCACAAGCTTTAGATGATTCAACTCAAAATACCCATGGATTTAATTAGAGCTATTGCTATTTTCCCAGCTATTACAATTTTGATCAGCTATTATAATTTTTCTTTCAGTAATGTTGTTTATTCGTGTTGGAAATGTTAATATGTTGCAATACAGTCATGTGTAATAAATTAACAAGCTGACATTGTTCTTCACCAGTGCATCTAATTTTTTCATGCATCTACTGGTTCATTTATTCTCCTCTTATTCAGCAAGGGAGCAGGCAGTGTGCTAACATTCCTAATGATCATGGTTTGTTTTCCCTTTTCCAGCCATGCGATGATGGACCTATTGGTTGAACTCTGCCTTCAGAACCACCTGAATCCTTCCCACCATGCCCTTGAAGTTCGGTCTTCGGAAACCCAACAGCCTTTGAGTTTTAAGCCAAATACTTTAATTGGGACCTTGAATGTGCACACTGTGTTTCTGAAAGAGAAAGTTCCTGAAGAGAAGGTTAAGCCTGGCCTGCCTAAGATGCCAGAGGTCAGTGGGTGCCTGGATACTAAGAGGACATTCGAAGATATGTACCTGTGTGTGAGTGTGTGGAGATACTGAGGGCCAGTGTTGTTCTTTTTCTATGTACCATGTGCACAGGGCTTTGTTGAGTGTTCCACTGCCATGCTACTCAAAGTTAGGCACTGGGTTTATTGTAAGACAAGAATTTTCAGAATTTAATCATGTTCATTGTTTTAACATTGCTCCTTTGTGTAATATAGAAAAGGAGTTAGTATGAAGCTGCACTGTCTAATAGAACTGTGTCTGAAGATGCAGCTGGCCCACATTTCTTCACTTTCCAATATGATAGCCACAGGCTGCATGGAGTTTTTGACTCTTAAAATGTGGCTGCTGTGACAGAGACATTTTAACTGCTTAGCTGGTGGCTACCTTCTTGGACTATGAAATTTGGGGAGTGGGGGAGAAGTGAGGGATCTTTTTGAAAAATTGTCAGAAATAATTACTCATGGCATTTGGCGATCATCTCATATATATAACTTCATTGCAGGCATTTGGTTATCAATTAAGATTAATTCCCAATTATTATTATACTTTCAAAAAAGGCTTTGAGTTGGACGTTTTAATTATACTTCAAAGCAGTGCTACTTCTTTCTTTTGTAGATTCTTGGAAGATTGGCTAAATTTTCTTGCTTTTAAAAAATGTCAATTTGGCTAATAGCTCATTTCCTGTGAATTTCTAGGTTTCAGTGAATAAATTGTAGTTGTTACCCTTCTACACACATCCAAAGGAGATTCCCCCGTATTCTTCAAGTAAAATCAATGTTCAAGGAAGAGGAACCCTCTTCATAGCCAATGGCTTCTCTTAACCTCCTGGTTCCCAGGCATAATTAAGTTCAGCATATATGTGTGTTTCCTTTTCAGAAGCCATGCCCAGGGCTGTGGGTTCTGTCTTTCCTCCTAAATTCTGCCATTGTCAGGGTCACCAGGCCCTGCCACTCTGACCAGAAGAGACCTTGTGGCTTTTCTCAGTCACTGTGCACCCCATGTTTACTCTATTCACCTTTACAGTATGTTAGTGCCATGTTGTGGTCAATAAGGCTGAATTACAGTAGATGGGGTGGAGCTCTGAATGCTACAGGTTTTTGGTGGGCTATGGTATCCGTCATCACTTAGGACCAGCCTAAATTTACAGAAATTGTTTTTGTTTCTGATTATTAGATGTCTGGTATTTGAAAAAGATAAAATCTATTTCTGGCATAAAATATATGTATGTAGTAAGTATGTGTAAATATACATATGTCTGTACCATATTATTCTGTATCTGTTTTATTAAGTATAGTATCATACATATATTTATGTAGATGCATATAAGATAGTCATTTTTTTTTAATGGAACTGGAGTTTGAACTCAGGGACTTACACTTGCAAAGCAGGCATTCTACCACTTGAGTGACTCTACCTGCCCTTTCCTGTGTTGTATTTTCAAGATAGGGTATTGCAAACTATTTCCTTAGGCTGGCTTTGAACTGGGATCCTCCTGATTTTTGTCTCCTGAGTAGCTACGATAACAGGTGCAAGTCAGTGGCACCCAGCAATATTTTGACTTCCGAAACATTGTGAGTTTTCCTTTAAATTATTCATTTCATTTCCAAACTGTTTTCCTTAGGAAAATGTATGTGTGTGTGTGTGTGTGTGTGTGTATTTATATATATATTTATATTTATATATATATAAATGCTTTGTGTTCAGGTCTGGTCAGAATCTTTGCAAGACAGTGTGTAAACTGGATTTTTTAAGTATAGAGCCTCCACCAATGGCCATATGGATCTCCATGTTGTTTGTTACTAAGGGAGATTTTAAGATACATCTAATATTCTGGACATTTATTTTTCACTCTTCATTATGCCATTTTTCCTGGGACTCCTTGAATTTGAAGAATGATTAGTGCTACACAAAATCCTGCCACACTCAGTTCTAGAATTAAAGCAGAAATTGAACTTATTTTGGGAAGATATACTCATAGAGTTCTTTGTGTCTGGTCTATTCCAGAAATCGGTGCGTTTGGTAGTGAATTACCTGCGGACCCAGAAAGCTGTCGTGCGTGTGAGCCCAGAGGTGCCACTGCAGAATATTCTGCCAGTCATTTGTGCGAAGTGCGAGGTCAGCCCAGATCACGTGGTTCTGCTCAGGGACAACGTGGCTGGGGAGGAGCTGGAGCTGTCCAAATCCCTGAATGAGTTGGGCATAAAGGAACTGTATGCCTGGGACAACAGAAGAGGTGAGACTGTGCTGTGTCATGCATAACCCTGCTGTGTAGTGACACAGATGTGATCCGTATACACTAAAGATTTTTCTGATAGATACAAAGAGATGACTGTTCAGTGCAACAACTGTCAGACAAAAACATAATTTATATTCCTTGACCTTAGAATCACTAAGATGGACTTCATAAAAGTTCTTGTTTTAATAATCCCCATTTGATATCTGTTGTCTGTTTTTTTTTCATTCCACAAATATTGAATAGATTTTTCTATAGCTTTTTAAATCATTTCCCCCAATAAAAATATATTTTTTCTTATTACCAAATACATTATGAAATTAGTGGTCATAGTGGGTATACTTCCCCCCACATCAGCCCACCTCTTTCTGGGGACTCCAGGTCCTCAGTCTTATGTGACATTCTAGAGAGAACTTAAGCTCCATGTAGTATAAGATATGTGGAATATTTATTCCCTTAAGAAAAGCACTCTGACCTTTGAGAATACTGTGTTTTGTGTTTTTCTTTCCCATATCTTTTTAGGGAGGTACTGGGGTTGATCCTGGGGCCTTGCATGTGCTAACCTGCTCAGTATCTTCTAAAAACACAGGCAGTACCTACTTAGTGACCTCAGGAATAGCTGCACAGACCCAGGTACTGTGGGTGTATTGGTCTGGTTCTATCAGCCCCATGTTGGCTTATGTGACTTTTTGGAAACAGCTTTCATTTGGTAAGGAAAAAGGGGATAAAAAGGAAGAAAAAAATGGGGGAGAGGAGGAAGGAAGGAAAAAGAAAAACCATGCTCCCTTGCATTTGGAAATCTTAGAGGAAAAAGATTCCCACAAATGGGTGTTCTCATTATGTGCCCACAGTTGGGCATATCTTGAAAGGTAGATGTAGAATGTGGTCCTTGGAGAAGTCAGAAGGAAACTGCATCTCTGTTAGGTGGAGGCTTAGCAAGCCCATGGTTATCTGGAGCACGGGAGCAGAAGCTTCAAGCATACATGATATGCGGCCAACTTGCCTGTTCAGATTTTGAAGCACTAACTACTGCCCTTGGTGGGAATTAGCTGCTCCCAAGTGTCTCCTCTTCACTGCCCTGTGTATCCCCTCCCTGCTCTAGTCCCATGGTCAGCAGCATCTCTTCCACCCAGACCATTTCAGTTACGATGTTCTTGATCACCACCCCTGCCACATACCTTCACCTCATCCTGTAAACCACCAGCTATCTGAGAAGAGAGCCATGCAGATTGTGGTCCTGAGGGACCCTTTCTCTTTGCAGCTAATCCACAGGCCTGCCAGGGCACCTGTGGAGCAGCCCTCCCCTTTGTCCCTATTGATTTACATTTAAGGGTGTAGGTGGTCTTCCCCTCTCCAGCCCTGCAGCTGCTGTGGTACAAGGAGGGAAGCTGGCAGGAGAGGCACTACTGGCAGAAACCTTCCTCTTCTGGAATTCATGGCAGGAACAGCTTGAAGAAACCCAAGACTTTGCTGCCCCCTGTGTCCACAGCCGGCATAGCAGCCTGCATGCTATGGGATCTGCAGGTGCAGGCCAGCTCTGCTCTGCCCTTGCCCCTGCAGCAGGCATCCCAGACTTTAAAAGAGACCAGGTCTTTGGATGGATGCAGATCTCAAAGCTGGTCCTCACTCTCTCATTGCCTGCATTTTCAGTTCTTCTGACCAAAACTCAGTCCGAGCCTTCCCTGAGCTGCCGAGGTACAGTGAGCTCACAGGCTGTGTTTTGCATGGCTCTGAGCAATTGTGTTCCAGACTGGAAGGAATTGAGTGTGGGGGCTTGCCTGGCTGACATGAGGTTACAGTTTGGCTTTTTGGCTTCCTGGGTGGTTCAGATAAGAATGTCTTTTGTGTGGGAATTTGCCCTGTGGGCATAATCATTGAAAAATGAGGGAGGCTGTTGTAGAAAACAGATTCTGTTGCTCAGAATTTCAGGACAGAGTGCAGTGATGCATGCAGAAAAGACAGTACTTCCTTTTTACCACTGCTTGCCTGCGCTTACCTCCTGTGTGCTAACCTGCTCAGGTCCATCCTGCATACTGCAGAATATGGGACAGTATGAGTTGTGAAAGTCAACCTTTTCTATAACAGACAAGTGTACAAATGATTAATCCAAATTTAGCATTTACTCTCACACCTCTATCTTAGACATTTTCTCTCTCTGCAAATGTCTCTGTCTTTATGTATATGAGAGGGAAAGGGTATACATATAGTTACATACTTGTATTTACGAATATCAACTATCAACATGAGCATATACATAGGCGCATATGTACACACATATATTTTGGGACTTTAATGGGATTTTTGAGTTATACATACCCACATCCATGTCTACACAACAAAAGTTTTTGTAAAATGCCAGTGAGTCTTTGCATCCTACAGAAAGTTTTGTCCATGTTTGTTAAAGTATGTAACAGTAGATTTTAGTTCCAGAAAATGTTCCATGAAAGAAAAGCTTAGCATTGTTCTGGATCCCAGAGTGTTGGAGTCTGAGAGTGCTAGGCCAGGACCTGTTGTCTCATGAACAGTGTAGAAAAAAGTGAAAATGACCAGTGTTCTCTTCTGAGAAGAACCGTGGAGCAGCAGTCAATTTGAACAGGACGTGTACCTATGTGAAAACTTTAGCTTTGGACAGATTGAGAATGGGGGCAAAGGTGAATGTAAGGGCTGTTCCTTTCTTCTGTTACGTCCAGCAGCTGAGTGACGGTAAATGTGGCTTAGAAGCTGCCCCACATGGAGTATTTGCAGATGCCCCCTGGACCCTCCTTTTCCACGTACTTGCTTAATGGCTTTTTTCTGGACATGGAACTGCCCTGATTTTTGGTTTTCTCTCCTGGACCAACAAATGGCTTGGACTAGTTGATCGCTCAGGGTTCCTTCAGCTCTCTCCACCCCCACCCCCAATTCATCTTTATCATTTTCTATCACTTTAATGCTTACAAAAGAAAGTATTTCCTTATAGATTAAATGTGACCTTCCCCCCAAAACTGTTACCAATATTTTACTTCTTATAAATTGTAGTAGATTCACAGAAAATAAATTTCATGTTCAAATGACCATCCATTTGCAGCCATGAACAATACATATGTTCTCTGGGACAGATCACATATTGCTGTCATGCTGCTCTGACACCTTAGCCAGCATCCTCTGGAAATGTTGCTGGATGCTAGCACTGAGTTCGCTCAGTCTGTTCTCACACTGACCTTTCTGCAGTGTCTCCCAAACCTCGGGGGCCTCCTCTGCTCTATAGATAGTCCATGGGTTTGGCCTAGCTGGGGCCTGTGAGTTTTGACCCCCTGTTGCTTCTAGGCAACTGTGTGCTATAGGTCATCCAGCCATTTTCCCTAGTCAGGGACAGAAATGAGGTTCAATTTCATTTCAGTTTTCTGATCCACTCTATCATTTTTGGTTGCTATAATATGGCCTGTGTGCCAATTACATGTTCCTTGCCTTGTTTATCTATAGGGAACTACAATATTGTCCATATTAATGTATCTATGTCACACACCATTCAATTCTAGAAACACCATAGACTATAAACAGACATATTAATGCATGCTACAGTTTCAATATGGCATTACTATGTGTTATAATATATTTTTACTCTTTATAGCCTGCACCTGAGGGTTTTGATGAGACTAACTTTAAAATGTGTGTGCACATGTATATCTGTGTAGCTACCTTGTGTAATATGGGCCCTCTGGTTTGGATAATTCGTGATGTGGAGCCCACCAGTCTCTTTGACAGGAGTCCCTTGCATGTCATTGTAAGCCCTAGCCTGATGAACATGACAGGGCTTGTGATCCCCATACAGTGCCTTAAGGAACACATGGGCTTGGTTTTGGTTTCTTGGGTAGACTGTGTTAATTCCCATGCATGGTTTACTAATGTGCTGACTTTTATGTTGTTCTCTAACTCAAATATAAAATTGAATATTAGTAGACATTAATGGATGTTTATTGTGTTTGGGTTATTAGACCAGTGGCAAAGTTTGTAAAATTCCAGTCTGATTTTTTTCTGCCAGTGGACAAGAAGTCTGGCTATCTAAGCAATTGACAGTGATATGGGAAAATTTATATTTTTGTCCTCCGGGAACACCTCAGCTTTCCCTCCTCTGTCCTATCTATGTGCTTTGGGTGAATGAATGGCAAAGGCCTGAATGGCCTGTGTGGTAAAACAAATGAATAATAGCAATCAATAGTGAGCTATGCTGTGTGCCAAGCACTGTGCCCTGTCCCTCATAGTGAACCCAACCACTGCCTAGCTGCAGAGGAAGAAGTGGAGGCCTGATGAGATGCCATGGTTGGTCCAGCTGTGCCTCACACATAGGGGCCCTATACCTGGACACCAGCTATGCAGGGGGCTTTCCCAGTCCACTCCTCACTTCAGGGTGGCGTAACAGTGTCTGCACTCACCAGGAATTGTGATTCAGGAGGCCTCCTGCCACTGATCCCACCTTACTGTGGGAACCACAGCCATTGGCTGGCTGTCAGTTGGGTCTCAGGGTCCTCATTTGAAATAAAGGACCTGCCCTAGCTCTAAAATCCTGATGAAGAAAGGGAGATTTTAGATTTAGAACTCAACAAACAAACAAAGTCTAATTAATTAAAATAATAAGAAAACAATTACTCCACTGCAGAATTTAAAAGGAAAACATTCTGGATTAGATCTGATGCAATTGTGTCAAATACCACCTGGGTAACCCATCACTGTTGTTCCAGGTTCTAGAAAATCACAGGACGGCACTTGGGTTATTTAGTTAGCATTTGTACCTCACTCACAGTTCTTACAGCAGATGCTCTGTACTTATGCCACAGTCCTTGGAACTGTGCTGTTCAGGTGGACAGGGACAGGCCATGTGTGGCTCTTGGTACTTCAAGTAGCCAGTCCAAGAAGAGATGTGATGTCGGCATGAGGGGAACACCAGGTTTTGAAGATTTAACACCAAAACAACTTTTATGTTGATTATATGATAAGCTGATAATATTTTAGATATATTGGATTAAATAAAATATAATTAAAATCAATTTCACACCTGATTTATTTATCTATTTATTGGGATGGGGTTTGAACTCAGGGCCTTGCACTTGCTAGGCGGGCACTCTATCACTTGAGCCAGGTCTCCAGCTCTCACCTGGTGTTTTTAAACACAGTTACTAATGAATATAAAATTACTCATGCAGTTTGTACTAGCTTTCTATTGGCCGGTGCCGCCTTTGATTTATTTGTTTTTTTCCCTTTTTACAAGAGGACAACCACACCCAGATGAAATGCCACCTTGATCACTAGAAGACTATGTAAAAACCTGAAGTGGTTTCTTAACTGAACCTCGATACTTTGAGGCAGCAACTAATGCTTTAAAAGAAACAGTGAAGATTTGCCTGTCTTAGAAATAGAGCTCAAGGTCAGGCACAGTGGTCCATGTCTGTAATCCTAGCTACTCAGGAGAGGAGATCAGAGGATCACTGTTTGAGGCCAGCTTGGGCAAAAAGTGAGACTCCATCTCAACAAACAAGCTGGGCATGGTAGCCTGTGCCTTCTATCCCAGATATGTGAGAGGCATAAATAAGATCCAGGCAAAATGCAAGATCCTTTTGGAAACATAACTAAAGCAGAAAGGGCTGGGAGTGGGAGGGTTGGCTCAAGTGGTAGAGTGCCTGCCTACCAAGTACAAGGCCTTGAGTTCAAAACTCCAGTACTGCCAAAAAAAAAAAACTAACAATTTAAGAGTAAAATGTTCATTTATAATTTATATAGAAGTATTTAATGTCTTGTTTTAAATGTTGAGAAATAACTTAATACTTTTTTTTTCTAGAAACATTTAGAAAATCATCACTTGGCAATGATGAGACAGATAAAGAGAAGAAAAAATTTCTGGGATTTTTCAAAGCCAATAAAAGAAGCAATAGTAAGGTAATAGAGTCCATACACATATGATTTTACATGGTATAAAATAGTTTCTTGGGCTTTACTAAATCTATCTTGGAATTTTTCTCAATAATTATGTTTAGGAATGTCAATTCCTTCAGGGAAAAGGCATGTAAGAAATGATTGACTTTGTACCTCCACACCTAGATCAAGTTATCTAGGACAAAGTTGTTTTACTCACTGATAGAACAAATTCAAAGCCTCTGGGCTCCAAAGCCAGGGCTGTGTGCCCTTCCTCTGCCAGGTGCACACACCATCGTGGTATGTTGTAAACCTCAGTGTACAGCCTTTGGATGTATGAATGAGGGAGTGAATGTGTCAGTGAAGCTGCAGGACCACATACAACATTCCTACAAATGAACTGCGGCTCAAAAACTTCCTGCATGAACCCTGAAAGGGCTGGAATTCAGGCCACTTTGTAGAGAAGAGAATCATTGCAGAGCTGGTCTTTTGCTATTGTTTTTAGATATTCTTCTTTTTAATATGATCTGGAAGTATACAACATGATAAGTTAATTCTGTTGATCTCATATTAAATCAGCCTTTAGAGTCAGTCATATTTTAGGTGTAACATTATAGAGTAATTTAAGGTCATAGTAAAAGGAGTAGAAATGAAGACTTAAAGAAATAGTTTTCAGTCTCAAAACCATAAATGCTGTCTAAGTATCCTGCAAAGAATATGCTTCTATCTCTATTAAATAACTTGTTCAACAAGTATGTTTTACTATTTAGTACTTTTTCTTTGTAACAAATAACACTTAAAAAAGAGAAACCCATAGCAGTGAATGGTAGGTCTTACTGCTGCTAGCTCAGTTGAGATGGTTCTCCATCTGTGTGGCTTTACAAGAGGTGAGGACAGGGATTTCTGCACCACTGAGGCTGGATGCCCATCTCATGTCCTGGCATTCAGAAACCTGGGAGTTAGAATTATGATTTACCCCATGTTTGCTGATGTGGAGGCTAGAGCTTGCTCTGGGCCCCAGGATTACAGGCAGGTCTGTCTGAACATGAAGCCAGCTGGTGTTTTCTGCTAAACTAGATGGGTAAGGTTCATAGAATGCAGACACTAGACCTGTGGAGGCCTCCATCTTTAAGGTTTCACAAACCTCAGCTGGTTCCTCACCCCTCCTGATAGTTTCATAGTGGCTTGGTCATCCTCTTACATTCAACTGATGATGAGTGCTTTTCCCATGTTTCTGTGTGTCCTTTAAAATTGTGCTTATTGTGTATCTCTCTAGTGACATCTTTAAAAAATTTATTAGTGACTATTAATCATGCAAAGGGGTTTCATTGTGAACTTCCATACATGCATACAATGTACTAGATCATATTCACTCATCCCCATCACCATCTCCTTTCACCTTCCCCAGCTGTTGGTTTTCCCCTGTATATGTATATGTATATGTATATTTTCTGCATGTGATAGTTATCTTTCAAAATCTGGCTTGTTTTGCCTAGCCAGGATTATCTCTACTTCTATCCATTTTTCTATAAAAAATGTAATTTTATTTTTCTTCTATTTTAGAAATAGCTTTGTTATGTTTTTATTTTATGCTATGTTTTTAATTAGCATACATTAATAATACAAGAGGGTTTCACTGTGATAATGCCATACGTGCATTCCAAACAAGTTCATCCCCTCCATCATTTTCTCATCCTCCTTCCCTTCCCCCCTTTTCTCACACAGTGTTGGGTGGGTTTCATTAAGCTGTCTTTAACCCCCAGATTGTTCCTCTTTCACATTCGTATATCATCACTGTCATCATTATCATCAGTATTTTGGGTCTAGGTTCCCAATGAGTGAGGACATGTGATATTTGACATTTTGAGCTTGACTTATTGTTCTCAACATGATGATTTCCAGTTATGTCTACTTTCCTGCAAATGACATGATTTTATTTTTCTTTACGGCTAAGTCATATCCATTCATCAGTTGTTTGGCACCTTTACTGAATCCACAGCTTGTCTGTGGAGAACAAAGCTCCAGTAAACATGGGTATGCAGATATCTTTCTTATATATCAGTTTATACCAAAGAGTGGTATGATGGGGTCATAAAGTAGGTCTATTGTTAGTTTTTTGAGGAACTGCCATATTGATTTCTTTCATTGTGTGGGTGTGTACTACATTTTCTTTAGTCATTCGTTGGTTATTGGACTCCTAGGCTGATTCTATGGCTTGGATATTGTGAATAGAGTTACAATAAACATGAGTGTGCAACTATCCCTATTATTTGCTAATTTATATTCCTTTGGATATACTCTATTTTTATTTCTTTGAAGAACCTCCATACTGATTTCCAGATTGGCCACAGTAATTTACATTTCCACCAACAGTTTATGAGGGTTCCTTCCATCCCCCGTCTTCAGCATTTGTTTGTTTTCTTGATGATATTCATTCTGTCTGGAGTAAGATGGGATCTAAATGTAGTTTTTATTTTCATTTCCTTTATATTTAAGGATGTTGAACATTTCTTCGTGTGTTTATCGGCCATTTGTACTTCTGCTTTTGAGAACTATCTTTTCAACTTCTTTGGCCATTTATTAATTCGATTATTTGTTCTTCTGGTATTTCAGTTTGTTATCTCTTTATATGTTGTTTATTAATCCCTTATCAGATGAATGACTGGCAGAGATTTTTTCCCAGTCTGTAAGCTGTCTCTTCATTCTGGTATTGTTTCCTTTGCTGTGCAGATGCTTTTTAATTTGATTAAGTCCCATTTGTCTATCTTGCTCTTACTTCCTGAACACTTGATCCCTATTCAAAATGTTCTTGCCTATGCCTATATCATCAAGTGTTTTCATATAGTACTTTCAAGAGTTTCTTGTCTTATGGTGAGATCCTTAATCCATTTTTGAAGTGTTTTGTCCAGGGTGAGAAAGGAGGATTAGTTTTAGTCTTCTACATGTGGAGATCCAGTTTTCTCAACACCTTTTATTGAAATTCCATCATATGTATTTTTTAGTAACTTTGTTGAAGATCAGATGACTGTAGCTGTGGGGACTTATTTCCAGATCTTCTATTCCATTGGTCTATGTGTCTGCTTTTTGCCAGTACCCTGCTGTTTTTGTTACTATGGTTCTGTAGTATAGTGTGAAGTCAGGTATTATGATACTTCCAGTGTTGATCTTTTTGCTCAGGATTGCTTTGGCTATTTAGAGTCTTTTGCACTTCTATATGAATTTTAGGATTGATTTTTCTATTTTTGTGAAATAGAAATAAAAAATGGAATATAATTGTTATTGGAATTTTTATGGTGATTGCATTGATTCTGTAGATTGCATTTAGTAGTGTGGCCATTTTCACAATATTCTGCTGGTTGATGAACATGGGTGTTTTTGATGAACATGGGAGGATTTTCCATCTTCTAGTGTCTTCAGTTCCTTTCTTCAGTGTTTTATGGTTTTCATTGTAGAGATCTTTTTTTTTTTTTTCCCTTTTTTTGACAGTATTGGGATCATTGTAGAGGTCTCTCACCTGCATAGTTAAGTTTATTCCTAGGGTTTTTTTTTGTTTTGTTTGTTTGGTTTTTTTTTTGGTGGTGGTGGTGGTAGGGGAGGAGTTGAGGCTATTGTGAATGGGATTGTTTTTCTGATTTCTTTCTCAGCTTGTTCATTACTGGTATGTAGAAAAGCTACTGGTTTTTGTATGTTGATTTTGTATCCTGAACTTTGCTGAAAGTATTTGTCAGATCTAAGAGTTTTTGATGGAGTTTATAGGGTATTTTAAATATAGGATCATATCATCTGCAAATATGGGTAATTTGATTTCTTCAAGTCCTATTTGTGTCCCTATTATTTCTTTCTCTTGGCTCATTGCTCTGGCACTGTATTTAAGCACTGCATTGAATAAGAGAGGAGAGAATAAATACCCTCGTCTTGTTCCTTATTTTATAGGGAATGCTTTCAGTTTTCCCTATAAAAGGTATAATACCTATACCTTTGTTCTCTGTAGTCTTTATTTTGTTGAGGTATGTTCCTTCTGCTCCTAGTTTTCTTCAGGGATTTTATCTAGTGAGGTCTTTGAGCCCAGAGCATCCCCCTCCCTCCCCATCTTCCTTTTCCTCTCCTGAACACTTTTCCTTTCCTGTCAGGATTCACTGAAATAACACAATTGGAATTTTGTGTTTGCATTTTCCATCATTTGATTTGTTTTGTTGTTCCTGAAATTTCTGAGATGAGTTAGCTGGGACTGTGTGCACTGTTCTCCCCTGTGGTCCTCACGTGTCCTTTACATCTCAAGCACATAATTCTGTGTTTCCTTCCTTCTGAGAGGTAATTGCCAACAAAGCAAGTGAAAGATAGAGAAATGCCTTTGGTTTAGCAAATAAGACAACTCAAAGGACTGGAGATTTGGAGACCCACTAACTTCTGATAGTTGAGAAAGAGGGTAGGGGTTGGGGAAAAACACAATGGAAGTGCCACAAGTGACAAAAGTCTGGCTTGTTGGCTATAAGGGACTTTTTTAAAAAGGACTTTTCTCAATGTCGTCTGAATTTTTTTTTTTTGTTTCAGACTTAAAAGAATCATTTTTCACTTCTTATATACGAACTTTCCTTCTTACTCAGTTTAATTTTATTGTGCATCTCCTTACTCAGTCTTATCTGTATTATATTACTTGTGGTTTGTATTTGTTTTTATGCATTAACCTCTTAACTTCTTGTTTCTCTCCATTTTTACTGTTTGAGATACTGTGCTAAATGCAACTTCATTTAGTCTATCTAGAAACCTGGTGATAAAGGTATTATCAGTCATACTGCCCAGGGAAATAAAATAAAGTCTCCTGTATTTGTATTTTAAAGCTAGTGGTAGTATTAGTAGATGCCAGAATTTAAGTCCAGGCCTATCTTTTCCAAAGCCCTTGCTGTTAATCACTTGTTTACATTGTAGTACTTACCGAGTGTGAATTTTGATTTATTCATCAATGAAAAAGGTCTAGAGTAAATAACTTTAAAAATGTTCCCTAAAGTCCTATGATACCAGATAGTATGCATATGTCTCAATATAGAACAAACTCTTAAGAATGAAGATTTATCAAACATTTAAAGTGACTTTTCAGTATATTGCATTTAAGGAAAAGTATACATGTGTATGCATGTGAATGTACGTTTATAAAATCTCAATAGAGACTGTAATTAAAGAGACATAATTTTGGTTTAAATAAGTGAGGGAAAAGTATCTTTGTTTTAAATCCTTTATGTTTTAATGTTTTCAAAGCATGATAATTTTGTATCATCCTGACATTGTTTATTTTTCTAAACCAGTGGTTCTCAAAAATACATAAGAATCATCTTAGACCTAGTTTAAAATATGGACTCTTTTGTCATGTCCCCAAAGTTTTACACTGGGAGGAAATGAGAATCTGGGATCTAGGAACTGAATTTACTAATTATACCCACCTGTTTTGATGGCTAATGGTATATTGTCATTTGCCTTTTATGGATATGGAGTGCACTGTTTAAATTATATCTGGATACACCCAAGCAATTAACTATGCAGAGATTAAGACTTTGAGATCTTCAAAAAGTGGTTAATGAATGGGTTTGCCCAGCTAATACCTATCCATCAGATTGATCCTCTGCTGTTTTTAATATGCATTTTCTAAGCTAAAACCTTGGAGAAAAAGAAAGAAAACTTGTTGCCATGATTTCTGGATTTTGAGGTTGTGTTTTCAAATCAGGGAGTACTGAGATTAGGATCTGTTTTAATGCTGCTTTCCAGTTCATAGGCTGAGGGGAGGGCCAGGACTACCACCACCATTGGGTGCAGATTCTGCTGCCAGTAAGCCTGGTCCTGCGGGCACTTTTCCCTTAATGATTGCTAAGGATGTCTGTTCTTGTCTGAGCTTACTTTCACCTGGAGTTGACGGCAGGTGCATGTCTGTGTTGCAGGCTGAGCAGCTTGGGCTGTCAGGCGCAGACAGTGATGAGGAGGCCACCCAGTCAGCCTCACAAAGGGGCATGAACGTGAGTACTAACAGCTGCAGGTGCTTCTGCCAACTGGGCAGAACTTCTCGCTACTTTGTAGAACGACTAGAGAATGAGGTTGCAGATGAGCTTCAGTTTGTTGGTTTGGATGGTTTTTGTAGTCTAGATAGATTCATAGAACTACATATGGCTTCTTTTGTTGTTCATGTTATTTTTTTGAAAAATGTGCAATATTTTATTTTCTCTTCTTCTCTGTCCCCTTGAGTGTGATCAGGAGACTCCTTCATTTGGTTAGCTGAATTTACACCTCCTGAAAGTATTTTCATATCCTACCCAGAGTAGCCTGATGGTCTACAGCTACATGCCCTATTTTCCAGTCCTATAGCTACCACTTACTAAGCTCTGTGACTACACTTTGAAAGAATTTTTAAAACTTCCTATGACCTCACATTTCAAAGTTGGCATGTATAAAGTTTCCTCATATTAAATATTTATAGAATATAATTCATGATATCTTACAGATATTGACATTTTAAATGTATCTAGAAAAAGTTGGGTATTTACCTTTTAAAAATTACCTGGGCAAACTTTTTTTTTTTTTTTTGGTGTTATGGGTGTTTTGGGTGGGGTGGCAGGGTGGGGGTTGTTGAACTTAGGGCCTTACACTTGGTAGGCAAATACTCTACCACTTGAACCATTCCATCAGCCCTTTTTATGTTGGTTATTTTTGAGACAGGGTCTCTCTTTATGCTCAGGACAGCCTGGACCATGATCTTCCTATTTTTTATGCTTTCTTTGTGTAGCTGGGACAGGCCATTGCACCCAACCATTGGTTGAGATAGGGTCTCAACTTTTCCCCCAGACCTGAGCTCAAACTGTGATCTTCCCGATCTCCACCTCCCAAGAAGCTAGGATTACAGGTTTGAGCCACCATATCTGACTCTGGACAAACTCTTTTATAATCAGTAAGAAATTTTGCATCCACACCAGTCCTATATCAAATTTTGTTCTTTTCAAAATAAATTTTATACTTGAAAGTCTTTTATGAGGACTTGAAATTAAATCTGATATAGAAATCTATCTAAAGAAATATTTTTCTGGATTGAGTTCTTAATAATCACAATACAAATCAAAACAGTATAAATATATTCTAGTTATTGTTATAGAATCATTAAGCATGAAAAGTAAATCTTTCTTGAAAAGACATTTCTTAATAAGATGTAAGGTGATTTGTCTTTCATATATGCCATGTGTCCAATGAAGAACAGTATTTACTGATACAACTAGAAAAGGCTCAATATTAAGTTAACCTTGTGCCTCTTCACATTTTTATTGGTATAAGCCCCAGGAATGTTTTATATACATATCTGAGGGTGAAAAAGTTCTTCTAAAGGAGTTATCTTTCCATTCTTTGAGGTCTTTCCACTTAACACACCAGAAAGCATAGCCATATATGATCAAAAACTATTACTAGTTTCTTTATGTTTTTTGATACAGCATCTCATTTGGTAACTCAGTCTGGCCTTGATTTCCTGATCCTCCTGCCTCAACTTCCTTGTAATCAAGGAAGTGGTTGTATACCAACACTCCTGGCTCAAAAATTATTTTTATGCTGAGTATGGTAGCTACTGGGGAAGCAAAGATCAGGAAGACTGAGGTTCAAGGCCAGCCTGGACTGAAATAGCAAGACCCTGTCTCAAAAATAATCATAGTACAATGGGCTAATAGAATGGCTCAAGTGGTAGAGCACCTGCCTTGCAAGTGTGAAGCGCCAAGTTCAACCCCAGTACCACTATATATTGATATATAAATCTGTGCCTAATTAGTTTATCTTTAAAATTTATCAATAGATAAGAATTGGAAGCTTTCTAATTTATAATCACACTAGAATTACTGACTTCTGGGAGGTATAAAAAATTTCTGTATCAGTATTTACAAATGATCATTATACTCACTGCTCTTTTGCTTGTTGGCACTTTCTAAGACTTATGTATCAGTTAGAACTGAAGAGATTGTAATACTGTTAGTTTTTGCTAACTTTTGCAAAATGCAAGTTTTTAATGATTTTTTTTTGTATTATCCCAAACTTCAAATTTGTTTTTGTGAAGAACTGGATTTGTTTTTGTCAAGAACTTGGATTAATGAGATTTAGCTCATTCAATGCAAGTCTGTCATATCAACTAATCAGGAAAATTAGCCCTTATTTATTGTACCAAAAAAAGGTTACATTTACTTTTGTTACTAAAAAAGTGCAATTATATTTTGAAATTTAAGTAAATAAGTTAATCGGTGCCCATGATAATTACCTGACTTTGGAGTCTCATCGTAGCTGCGTTGAGATGTTATGATTTCCTTACACTCCACTTTAAAAACGGAACTTAATGCTCTAGACTTAATGCCATTTCCTCTGTTTAGTGGTCTCATTTTAATGTGCTGTGAAAATCAGGTCTCAAGTTTAATTGCAACAAAACCTTGTGGTGAATACGAATATTTCCAGTTTTAAGAAGGATTTCATATGTGTCCCTGGAACTAAGGCTACTCTTGAGCCCAGCTATTGAGCAGCCATACAGAAATGCTTGTGACCTTTTCCACATGAGTCAAATTAGCCAGAATAAAATTATGTAATGGCTTTTAAGGAGATCTATTCTTCAGTTGTAATCTTAAGTAAGGCTTTATCTGAGCTTGTTATATCAGCCATGCTGTTTTCTTTGTTACTACACAGACTTAAGAGAGGATGATTTGAGATGTCCATAGACTCATTAGTCTTTAAGGTTTGTCTTTCATCAGTCTATTTTATCCACAAGCTGTTGGAGAATATTTTCTAATATTTCGTGTACTGTACAAGCCATTTGTGTTTGAGCTGGGAACCTATGACATCGAAGGGCTTGGCATTGTACACCTTTTGGCTATTATAATATAATCGGGTATTATAACTTTTCTGCAGAAATGGATGGTAAATTAAATTTTGTGTGCTAATTTGTGTGAGTTTTTTTCTTTTTCATTCATGTAACAGAACATATTCATGGAATAAATGGTACCTGAATGGATGGGTAGATTAATTGATTGAACAATCAATCAACAGATTGATAGATAGATAAGACCTATATAACAACTTTATAGAAAATATCTAAAAAGCATTTTTAAAGAAAATTATAAAATTCTACAAATATACACAACAGTAGAATTGTACAAATGGAAACACAGGCCACATTATTTATTAGATAGGGTGATTCAACATCATTATGTCAATCAGGTTTTGTTTTAGAACCAAATAAGTTGATTATAAAGTTTACTTGGAAAAACAAACCAACAAGAACAGCCAGGAAACCCTGAAAAGCATTAGGGATGGGTAAGCCTTGCTAGTTTTTCAAATAGATTTTAAAGCTTTTTTGAAAAAATTAAAATCCACAGGAAGCACAATGAAACAGAATATGGAATAAACCTAAAGCCAATTGCATATGGAAATATGGAATACAATATAGTCAGTACCTCAAACCAGTGAAAGGAAAGAAACTTAATAATGAGTGGAGTTAGGATCATTGAATAGCTATAAAGAAAAAGATAAGATTGTGTAAGTTTTCACGGTATACACAGGAATAAGTCAAATGGATCAAAATCTAAATGTGCATAATGAAGACATGCATATTACTAGAAGAAAATGCAAGCAAGTATTTTCCTGCCTGTATCTTAAAATCCAGATGAGCTCAGGGAAAATATTGATGAATTTGGCTTTGGGAAAAACAAAAGTTCTTGTTGAATGACAAAAAAGAAAAAAAAAAGGATTGCAAGAAAGAGGAAAAAAAAGAATACTGTAAGCAAAGTAAAAATCCAAATACGTTTAGAAACAGAGATGATGACATTGAGCTGATCTAGGTGGGTATGAACAGAGAGTGCAGCAAAAAAACAGATATAAGTAGGACATAAATAAATGAAAAAAGTTCAGACTTATTCATAATGAGAGATGTTAGTTAAGCCTACAACAGGCTTCCACTTGTTACCTCTTTGGTAAAAGTCTGATCATAAACTCCATTGATTAAGTGTTGGAAATCCTTATATGTATTGTTGAGAACAATGCAAAATGCTGCAACATTATGGTGGAGAATTTGGCATTATCCAACTCAGTTACAGATGCATTTATTCTCTGACCCAGAAATCTTACTTTTAAAAATCACAAAATGTCCTTGGCCAAAATCTACAGGACTGTTTATTGCAGTACTGTTTGTAGTGGCAAGAGATGAAAGTAACACACATGTTCAAATCAGTAGGAGATTGATAGATTAAACTGTGGTATAGCCACATAAGTGAACACTGAAAAGCTATGGAAAGAAGGAAGATCATTACATACTGGTGTGGAGTGTTCTCTAGATTATGTATTTCCCATTAAAAAATTAATGGTGACTTTTACTGCAAATCAAAGTTTATAAATGAGCCTTCAATATGATAGACTAATCATTGTCTTAGAAATAAGAATTTACTGATTTTCAAGCCTTTAGAATAGGACAGCACTTAACAAAATGATGATTGCTGCTGTTGGTGACCTTGGCTGCCACACTGTTAATGGCACTGGTGCAGTCTGTGATCAGAAGACTTCCAAATTCTTTGTATCCCACCAGAAAGAATCTATGGGAGGACCCACGGGTATAAAGGGAGTTTATTAAAAGTTAGGGAAGAGAAATACAAAGGGAAGCATGTTGGGGCCTGGGTGGAAGCCATAAGCCAAGAGAGCATGTTTCTGCCTTTCAGGTGCTTTTAAAACATATGATAACTTGTGGGAAGGGGGAAGGAGATTCCCAGCCAATAATCAATGATTGGGGATGGGCATTGGTGGTTCCCCACCAGGTGAGGATGGTTCCTGAGCCAAAGCATGGTTAATCTAAGATGCAGTTTTTTTTTCTTTAAATCCCTAATTTAGCCTGCCTCAACACCAGCCCTTGCCTGGTCTAGGTACTATGTTTTATGATCTCATCTGATGTTGCTTTTATGGATACAGAGGAACTCCAACTTCCAGAGTTCGATTGAAGATCAAATCTTTTGAGTTT